ATTAAAAGTTATATCAATTGTATATTAAAATTATACAATAATTAAATTTAACTTTATACTTAATAAAGTTAGAAAAAATGTATTCAAGAAAACGTTATTTAAAAACATTCTTAATCCAACATATTTAATTATTTTATTTTTCTACTGATTTTGGTTACACTTTCAGTCTTCCAAACATGTTTTGTTCTCATATTTCTTAGAACAATATACATTACCAAACATGTTCTACCATGTTTTTGTTCCAAAATTCTCAGAGCAAATTTAGAACACCAAACATGTTTTGTTCTAATTTCAGAACATCACACTACAAAACACTTATTCTATTCTAGGCTAGAGCAGTACACTACATCACACTACACTTCTCAAACGGGCCCTAAGTTTTTTAATTAGAGGAGTTTTGCTTGATACAAACAAATTCTTAAAAGTTTAATTCTCTAAAATGTAGATCCTAGTGGCCAGATATACTAATAAATTGAGATTTAAATTAAGGAAGTAATCATAATTTAAGTATTATATACAATATATTTAAAATAAAAAATATGTATAAAATAATATTAAAAATTGAGTTGGAGTTGGGTTCACTGGCATATCAATCCATAACCTAATCCTGATTATGTTGGAATTGAAAATTTTCAATCCTAGTAAATCGTAATTGTAAAAAAAAATTAGTTATCCAAGCCTGTAAAAGACCGAACCTCATTGGAATTGGGCTTGATTGGGCTACCCAAATTACAGTCTTCAATGAATATGGTGAGTTGGTGGTTGACGGTGAGAAAGAATCCTCTGAGCGCGAACGAGCACTGGAAGACGGCCTTATTGCATTGAGAGATTACATAATAGGTGAGTGAGCCTTATTTTACTTCTACTTTATTGTTTTTTTTCTTTTCTCATTTTAATTTTACTCGATTTGTTCTTCTTTATTTGATTTCAACTTAAAACTTGGTGGCTCTTGTTTTGTTGAATTATTCGCTTTATTATTTTGTATTTGCCCTTGATTGGTTGACAAAAAGATACACTTTTGCGTTAATTAAGTTGGTTTTTGAACTCTTTGTAAATTACTGGCCTTTAATTCATTCGTCAACAAGGGTTGGCCCCAACATTTGGGAAATTAGAATGTGTTTTAGTCCAATAGTGATATCTAAAGTTGCATTACTAGGGTGGTAAACAAAAGAACAATAGTAATAATTGAAGCATTTTGAATTTGATTATCTGGAATTGGTTTCTACAATCATATTACGACTTCTACATAAAACATACCTTACCGTATGCACTAATTTTCCCCTAACTATGCCTACAAAATAATACTTTATGACATTCCATTTTTCGCAAAGCAAATTGATCAAGAATATGACAAGAGCTAAAGCTGAACCGATCCCACTAATCAGAAATAAACCACTAAAATTGTCGAGGTTCAGAGCGTTGGGATTATTGCTGGGGCTACTCAAAGAGTCCTATTAGGACATAAAAGATAATTCATTATTAAACCATGCCTTCTCCATCATCATAAGCTTTCCTTCTACTCTCAGTTTCATAATTGCCCATGAAATTTCAAGAACCAATGGTGAACCTTTCGGGAAAACCTGTCATAAGAAATCAACTATTAATTAGAGTTCGCATAGACAGATAAATAAAGATAGGAAATGTCCACATTATACACAAGGTCTGTTTATTATTTCTATTTATATGCCTGCATATGTGATGACATTGTTGTTCTCTTATGTTCATATGTCTCTGTGCAAAACAATTTGTTTAAGAATGATACTCAAAAAGCCAAAGCCATTGGTCTTTGATTTTGATGCAATCATGGCATAGTCTTGGGAATATCTTGCAAGGAAGATCTTGATGTATGGGATCTCATCAATGATAGCGAGAACACCACCATTTTTAGTCCCCCTTGATAAAGCATCTGTATATTCCTCAGGCGAAGAATATTGCATAAGGTTAGTGTCTTCAAAATTCAAGTTGCTGACAATATCTCCTTTTATGAGAGAGCCACTTTGGTAGCCTATGTAATTCTCTTTTGATGTTAGTTGTATCTGTTGGACCGTCAGCATTGAAGATAAAGTTGCAGTGTAGCTTGAAGTCAATATAAGCACAACGAACACCCAAACAATTACTGCAAATCTTGACAAATTACTTAATAACTTTTCTCCTGCAATGTCAAACACCAAAATTTTGGTTCTTAGTGTTTTTTTTTTTTTTTTTTCTGGGAGGTTAGTTTGTTTTGTTTCAATACAATATACTTTTACCAAATTAAAAAATTACGAAAGAACTTACTATTAGCAAAAACAAAGGTTGAGAAGGAGAACTAGAAGACCGTTCCAATTTGCTGAGCAGCTGAACCTTGGAATTCTACATTTATTGGATGCTCAATAACCCAAACGACAAAGCCGGTTAGGATAAAGAAAGTAGCACTTGTGAGCCATAGATTTGAATCAAGTGGCTTCAAGAAGATCCATATGTTCTTATTGTCAACCCTTGCTATTGTTCCAACAGCCAAGTCCGTATATGGCATTGTAAAGTCAACATATAGAGATCTATTGGCCGTTATTACAGTATCCCCCACGACAGCATCATAATTCTGAACCATTCAAAAATGCAACATACATTAAAAAAACCACTATGCAGATATATATAAATAAGCTAGCATTCATGTCTAGCTGCATGTTTTGTGTCGCGTGTATATGAGGGAATGTGTGTGGGAAATGTGAAAAATGTTTCCCGTACTAAATATTTGTGAATCTCTCAGTCGTGATATTGTTCTACATTTTGAATTAACGTACCTGAAGATAGACCTGATATATAAGATCACTATAGTTTCTTGCCGGCTCCCCATTGGAATCCTCAAATGGAATAAACTCATATGATTCAGTACTTAGTAAGCCATCAATGGCAGCATTGAATACATCAATGCAGAAACCAATGGCAGTTGTTGCATTTGTTTGAGGATCACGCTGCACCTTTATCAACTCTTTGAACCCTTAATTCACTGGTACACCAATTCTTAGCTTGTTACCTTTCATTTGCATCAACCAACCTTTTGGAGTAGTTGTAGATCCTCCCGGCCAGATAATGGTTTCAAGACCTGTATTAGTACTTGAAGACCTCGGATATTTTTTGCTAACAGATGGATTCATTTCTTTACTGATTCCATCAGCCAGTGTCCAAAATCCAACTCTTCTCTCCCCTTTGCCTAATACATTGACTATTTCAAATGCCCTAGAGATTAGTTTCCCGTTCATAAATTGGAACTCACCACTTAAACCCCTAAATTTAATTTGCAATAACTGTTTTAGAATTATTGAGGCACTTTGAGAAGCTCTAATGTTAGCTAAGTCTGTCATGTTCAATGCTGCATTTTGTTCCTTGGTTTGAGAAATCTTATCTGCTACATTCTCCACTGCCCTTGCTAGGGCCCAAATTGCATCATATGCTCATATGCCAAACACATTTAACTCCATCATTTCCTTATTGGGGTTTTCCATACGCATTTTCCTTCTCCATCTTACAGTGAAGTTGTGGAGCTCGCTTGATGGTGGAATATAAGACTTGAAACCTAGTGCGCCTTGTATTGACTCAATGAGTACAGAAGAATCCATTGAATACAAGAGGTCCATAGTCTTGTCAGTTATAATCCTAGCATATCCCTTACTCATCATTCCTAACCTTTTGACGTTTAAGAAAAGACGAGACACTAGAGAAGGTGAAACATGCACAACAACTATTGTTGTTTGAAGAGTACTACTCGTGAGATTATGGAGCTCTACGAGGATATGTTCATCAGTGGCTGAGGGAGAAATGGCACTCTTATGAGCAATATGAATGTTTTTCTCTTGGAATGAGTCGGCCAAATTTGATATGATTTCTCCCTGCTCATAAATAAGGATGACGTTCGTCCATTGAAATGATTCTAAAATGGAAGCAACACCATCAAATTCAAGGATTTGGTCTTGTGTAAGTTGAACAAGGTATAGATATTCTGTTGACAACGTAGGACTCCCAGTAAGAGAAATTATAGGAACTTTGGCCTTGTCCCCCAGTGTAGCCAAGAAATTCGCTTCAGGTGATGTTCCTGGGCCTATGATTGCTTGCACCTTCTTGTTCTCCAAAAGATCAAGAGCTGCATTGGGCAAGGGAAGCAATTTACTTGATTATTTAATGTCATGGTAAAATCCCACAATTTCAAGCATGAACTTTGGCTTCTAATTTCAAACATATCAGTCTGGAAAGAAAATGATAGGTTTATGAAAATGATAAAGAATTCAAATGAGTCTTTTTTTTTCTTTTTTTCTTTTTCTTTCCTAGGCAAAAGGAGCCAAATCGACTTAGGGGACCAAACAGTAGCCTTTTCTTTTATATGGATATGAGGCCATGCATGCAAATAAATAGTGAATGAAAGATGAAGAAGTCAATTCAGGAAAAAAAAAAACTCTCAAGGATTCATTAAGAATGTAAAGCGAAAACTCACCAACAGACAGAGCACGCAGGGGTTCTCCCCCCGAATCCTTTATGTGAGGAACTATCCTTGTTTTGTAGTGTTTGTTTAGAGTATAAAAATCAGATATTGCCATAGTAATGCAGCTATAAACAACCTTTCCAACCAATGATCCCATATCCAGAATTACTCCAACCTGAATTTCCTTCACTACCCCCATACTACTACTTTTATTTGTGCCCGGTACTTCTGCATTTAGTTGATAGAGATAGCTCAACAATATTATAAGTGAAATGAAGATATGGTTCTTCATCCTGTCTCTCTGCCGGAGGAAATGGGTGCTTAATATATATATATACATATATATAAGTATAGGTATAGGTTGGTTGAATATGAACCATTGAACCTAACAATTACAAACTACTTATGTAAGAACTACACGTCTATAAGTCTACCTTAAAATATATGTCCAGCTGTGTCTAGCACGTTCAAGTTAGTATTCGGTGAGGAAAGTAGAATTGTTGACCGGCCTTTAAAGAAAGACAACTTCAACTCTCTCTCTCTCTTCTTTTTTTTTTCTTTTTTTTTTTTTTAATCACTTACGAGTTTAATGATAGCTCATCAAGAAAGGAACAATTTGAAGAATTTCAAATATAGCAACTAAAATTAATTGTGAAACGAGAAAATTGAAGTTTCATCATCACAATACTAGGAGTAGTTAAAAAAAAAAAAAAAAATAGTAGTTAAAAAAAAAAAAAAGAAAAAAAAAGAAGAAGAAGCTATACTAGGCATTATTGATTTTTTTTTTTTTTTTTTCCCAACATTCAGTACTCTTGACCACATGGTTAAGATTGACTATTATAATTTTCAACAATTGCAAAATCAACCAATGACTATTTTACATTGAATTATTTTAGTTGTGGACAAAGTCATTGTGGAAGAAAACGTCTCTTAAACGTCTGATAATGCTTTACTTTTTTTTATATATTTACGTTTATTATATGCACACACACATATAACTTGCCGTGTATTTCTGTTAAAAACGGCATGCAAACGAATAACTGAAGTTCAAAACTTGTGAAATAAGGCCATTCCTTGACTATATCAAGAATCTCTTCGTCATCGGCTTCTGGAAATAATGAGTAATGTCGAAGACTGTGTCTGCTTACAGGTTTTCATTGTCCCTTAAACAAGGTAAACACATAAATTATATATAGGCAATTTCGTATGAAAACTCTATATTTTATGCCGTGTTGACTCAATTTAATTGTTTTGGCTTGTCAACAAATGTAATGACCCTAGCTGATGCCAAAATTTAAAAAAATTCGGCATAACCTCCACTAAAAATGGGCCTTCAACAATCTGTCCCAATACACAAAACACATAATATCATCCAGCATCCCATTCATCCGTTCATTATACCTCAACATAGTTCCTCTCATGGTGGAACATCCACACACACCAATTAATCTAAATTATCATAATTATAGTCCCAAAATACATGGTTAAGATTTAAAATCCCTGTCTTACAACGTTACATGATACAATTGCATGAAAACATATACCATAATTCCATTAGTTTCATTTATATCAAACAAAAGATAAGTTCGTTCTTAAGTTACAAGGCCATAAATACTAACTTAGTTACATTTCCACAACTACGAATATACATAGAACGGTCAAAATACAAAATAGCAAACAATCTTCTAACAACTTTCAAGCTTGAGGTGGATTGTCATCCACTAGTTCATTTCTAAGACCTGAAAATAATAATATAAATAGTAGGGTGAGTATAAAGCTCAGCAGGTGACACTTAAGACACACATCTTGTGTCCTTGTGAATCCAAACAAAGCATAGGCCAATGGGAAATTGGGATCATACAATGTCGGGAAATAATATAGCATAACGATTCAATCTCAAGTATATCCAATGCAATGGTATGAGATGCAATGCATGCTAGTGTCGTTCCCTATTTTCATAATCCAAAACATCGTTTCCAAACTGCTAATATAGCCCGCCCTTTGGTAGGCCCGCAGCGACACGAGAGGAGGATTGGCTAGTGTCCCTGACCCTTGGTACCCACACGGCGTCATTATGGGGCCCAGCTAGCTCAACCACGTTAGGGCGACTCCCTAGTCCCCTCTAGGCTATATTAACCTCCGGCCCGTTGATAACCCCGCAGCGACCGAGTTTCACATAAAACCATTTTATCAAAAACACTTCTCTTAAATTCCCCATATTTATTTCAAGAACAATTTCTCTCATTTCATATAAACCCAATGGTATGTGCATGTATATATGTTCCATACATTCAATGTCATGGCATTTAAAATTCTACACCATAAAATTAAACATTCAACATGTTCAACATCTCCCAAGTAATTATTAACACATTAAGATACAACAAAATACATTTAAGCATGCTTTACACATAAAACAACTCACATTCATAAACATGAATTTCTCTAGACAACATTTAAAATAATCATTGATACAATTAACTTCTAATTAAGCATGTTTGGCACAACAAAGGAGTATAACTCACAATGGAACAAGAAGGTAGTGGATTAAGGTGTCCCTACCTCAAAATGAGCAAAATCCCTAGAAATGGGTTCTTAAATTCGAGCTCCCAAAGAGGACCAAAAGTTGGAATTTCTGGTACTAGTACGTAGAGCTCGTCGTGCTCATCATTTTGCCTCAAACGGCACCTAAATCCGCCAAGAATTGAGAGAGAAATCAATGATTGAAGTTGAAAAAGAAAAAAAGAAAAGGAAAAGACAGAAACAGCGAGAGAGAGAGACTTAAGCTGTCCGAGAGAGAAAGCAAATTGGAAACTAAATGGGTTTGTAATGACCCTTATATCACAGGTGGGCCCCACAGTGGAAAAAGTCATTGTTTATTAATTATATATATAGATAAAGTCAAAAACTTTACAACAAATTGTAAAGTATTTCTTTAAATTATTATTATTTTTTTTTTCACAAAAGAAAAAGGGTTAAAGGAATATATTAACCCTCAATTCAAACCGAACTATAAAGAACAAGAACATCGTGCCAGGGGCAGACCCGGAAACTTTTGTTTGGGGATGTCTAACTAACCCTACGTGTATGCTTAGAAGTTAGAATTCTAAATGTTAATTGTAATAAAGTATTTTTATTAGCAATATAGCTTTTGATACATGTACTGATGTAGATATTAACATATGTAGTGCCTTAATATGTGAGACTAAAAAACAAATAATCCGATCCGGATTGGATTGCATTGGGTATGTTCTTTGACATCAAATACTAGTGTTATTTAATTTGTGCTTAAAAAAAAAACAAATAAAAACAAAATAGATGTTTTAAGGATCATTGAAATCAAGCTTGACTTTATCATACAAACTCGTCAATTAAGCTCTTTTTTTTTTTTTTTTTTTGCCAGCTTATTAATACAGTTTATAATGGCCTCAAGTTCCAGGCTCCAGCTGAACACAATAAAGTGAGCCAAATTTGGGTCATTTATCGCATTAGTTGGGTCTTGAATGGGTTTTTGTCTGAACGAATCACAAAGCTGGAAGGCCCATAGAACCCAAGCTTAATGTCACGATCCGATTCCTAACGACGCCATGAGCATAGAAGATACGCATGCTGGTTGGCTAAGAACATTCATTGACTGGGAATGGTTCCAGGGAAGGGGCGTGCAGGACCACAGGATGGTACCTCTTCAGATTTCAGGCAGGTCGACTCGGTTCAGTTCGAGGTGCTTGTCGCTAGTCTTGGACTTGACTATGAAGAAGGGAGTTGGCCATCCCTGCACAAACTGGTCGGGAGCTGGAGCCGTTCCCCTGACGAGGCCATGGCAGGCTGAAACCAGTCAGCATGTATCCTTGGGAGGGCAGGTCGTGGTGGCTGAGCAGGGCGCTTGCGCGAGCTGAAGCAACGCCTTGGTGCCGCACGGGCCGTGCCGCTGCGCCAAATCTCTAGGCCCGTGACATTAAGCCCAATTCCAATATGCTTTCAAATTAAGTGCAGCCCATTTTAGACTAAGTTGGTTGGTGGAAATAATGCCTGCCTGAGATTGAGTTTTAGTTGTCCTTGTCGAGGCTTACAGGTTTTTTTAAAATCAGTAGTGTCCTATAAAATTTTATTGGGGAGGATAGTGTAATTTTTCAAAACTAAGGGAAGATTTGTGTATTGTACCCTATCTAGAGGATATGTTAGTGCAATTATCCTTATATTTTTGTGCATCTCTATATTTCATTCACTGTAGCTAGCTTTAGAATTATGAATTTGTCAGACGAATACAAGAAGCTTCAAGGATTTATTTGTTGATGATAAAATCATTTGGTTGGCTACAAAATTCAATAAAAATGAATTATTCAGATACACTCCTCTTTTTACTTTTTGATTTTGTAAACATTTCTAAATCTTGCTTGGACTTGAGAGCAACACGGATGGTGATGCTTACCCTTTTACCTAAAAAAAAAAAAAAAAACACTGATGGTGATGAAATACATATAGATACACAAAGCAGCAGTTAAAATAACAATGAGTGAAATGCCAGCTCCGAGTGAGAATCTATTCCCGCAACTCAGTTTCCCCAACCGAATCTGGACGAGTTCAACCATTGAAAGCAGCAAGAAAATAAATGAAAACAGTGATGACAAACCCGAATAGTCCAATATCAATTTTCTGAACAATATAAGATAATATTGTATCCGCAATTCCTCATCTCGGTAAAGGCTGAGAAGAAAATTGGCGCACTTGGCCACCAGGCTTGAGTAAATGAAGAGACTGAATGACAATACTTCAAACACCACCAGCCTCCTGGCCGACCCAACACCGGCGGTACACCCTGGCCGGCACTCCAGGCTGGTCTGGTCACGCGAGGCAAACGATAATCCGATGAATACTCCTAAGGTGAACAACGAGTTTACACTCACAATTTCGTCCACTACGTTGGTGTACGTATCTAAGGTTTCTGATGACACAACATTTTCACTATTTGTTTCTCCATCACCCGTCCTGCATTGAACACATGAAAAAGGAAATATAAAAATTGTATGTAAGTATATTACTCAAAAATATATATGGCACTACTTCATTTGTATAATATATAGAGAAAGAGAGAGATACCCATTGCTGGTGGTCTCCTGATGAGGTTGTGTCCCTTCCATGTTGGATTATTGTGTGTTTTTTTCTTTATGGATCTTCCTAGCTGGCAATTAAGCAGTAGCAAAAAATTGGGTATTTAAACAAATCCGAGAAGAATGATAACCATGTAATCTGGTTTCATACAACGCACACAATAACTGATGAGAAATGCCATGCCAAGTTGTGCACCCGTGTGATCTCGGCCACAAGATTATGTGAGGTGTTTTTTTGTGCGAAAACTGATAAGTCACATATGATGACTCATGAGACAGACAGATGTGGAGTGATAGACCACAGACACTCTTTTTCTCTGGATCACGTTACGACAAGCATTGCACTTACATCCCCTTGTATCATTTTCAATTCAAAATGTTATATTTTCATATTAAATTTATATTTTGAGAGGATCGAATTATATTGTCAAAATGTTATATTTTTGTAATTATACTATAATGGTATATTTTATCTAAAATGTTATTTTTTTGACACAACAATTATTCCACATTTATTTTAACAATTTTTAACAATCTTAAAATATGCGAAGTCTTTTGAAGGCCTATTGGATGGCCTTATTTTTATCCACTAGTTATATTTTGAGTTTGAGAGTTATTATATTTGATAATATTTTTGACAATCTCAAAATAAGAGATATTTTTTAAAAGACTACTAAAATATATATTTTTTATTTACTTATTATATTTTGAGTTTGAGAAGTCATTCGGGACACTGGAGATGCTGTAATCTAACAATTGAGTTTGCATGGCTATCCTACTGGGCGACTATATTTGACACTTCTCGAGTGGGTCCTACTGCGGGATATTTCACTCATATGGCTACTACATTATCGAGACTCGAATAATATAGATGGTGCTAAGGAGAGTCCACCTGTTACAGTGATAAGAACTCGCCAGTTGCATGGACTCACAGCCAAAAACAAATTAACATTAATACATATATTATCTCCATGCATGTAAACATTCGTGAGTGGGGCCTTTGATTGGATCAAAGAATTGAATGGTGACCTAGTTTTATTCATATATTATGTATTGCATGTAGTTATAGGATTTTATATTTTATAAAGATGATCGATGATAGCTTTATAAAAACTTTCTTCGAGTTTCTAATGGATAACATAACCTTTCAAAACTCTAATATTGTAAGTTTTGATGATCCGATCGAGCTGATCATGAAAGCCATAGACATATTGAATATTTTAACATAGCTCTTTAGTATTCCTTTAGTATATGGTACCGCACTCAGGAAATTATAATTTGAGAAAGAAATTAGACAGAAATGTAATACATTACCCAATTCCAAGATCAAACAAGACACCATATAATTTCATTAAGTTAAAACACCAATATGCTATACATGTAACATGTCCAACAGTTTTCAGAGCCTGTGTAGCAAAAGGGTCATGATTCAGTAAGAGAGCAAAATTGCCTATAACATTTCAAATACGTAATTAATTAACTTAGTTAATGAAAGACGTGTTCATGCATCTTTTATGGAACAGGTGCCAGTGTCTTTGATAGAGCAACCATGAGGACAGCCATATAGATGATTAGAACAGAACAGATAATCACAATCATGCTTATGGCGGCGCCGAGTGTGTGAGTTCCCCGGCAAGACAGCTTCCCCAACCTCAGCTGAATGACGTGAAGCATCGAAGCCTCTAAGAAAACACATCCGGCAATGGATGCCAATGCTGACAAAAACAGCAGCAAGACTCGGCTACGCTTCAGACGTCCGTTTTCAAAATCATGTTCTTGGTAGAGGTGAAGATCAACCTTCACTGACTTGGCCACAAGGCCCGAGAACAAGAGGCAACTGAAAGATATGATCTCAAACACAATAAGCCTCTTTGACATGCCAATGCTGCCATGGCACTCCTCTCTGTCGTCGAGGCTAAACTGGTCCGGGGCCGAGGACAGTCCCACGAATACGGCAACGGTGAAGAGTGAGTTGACGTTCACAAGGTCATCCAGGGCCTTCTGGTAAATTTGTATGATTTTGGTGTAATCTTTCTTCTTTTCATGCCTGAGATGATGTATACATTATAGCAGAAAAGTTTAGTAAAACCAAAGTGAATGCCATAATTAATGAAGTAGAAACTAGAGGGATAGAGAGATACCCATTCACCGTGGATGCTTGGTTCCCTGCCATGATTAAATTTCGTAATTGTTTTCCTACTTCTTTATTTTAGGTTTTATTTATTATTATTATTATTTTTTTGAAAAAAAAAAAGGTTAATTAATTGAAATTGCACGATTCGAGAAGAATTGCGACCACATAATCTGTGATTCTACGAAGATAAAATTGGGTTTATTGGTGTGTGGGAGCTAGCTAGAGACAGAAGTACTATCGAGTCTTGTGGAATCTGTGTATACGTACGTTTATTATATAACGATCTGGACCACTTGACAATGATAAGATCCAACCACGTCCACAGAGAAAAATCAAACTAGCTTTCAATATACAAGTACGAGTGTGCTATACAACTAATTGCCAAAATTTATATGCGCGTTTGGATTGTAGAAGGTAAAAATGAGTAGGACAACGAGCCAATTTTTAAGAATTGTTAAATATTTCTTAATTTTTCTAAAAGTTTAAATAGATTCACTTTACGTAAGCACTGAATCAACGTTTTTAAATTGAAATTAAAAGAAATTTAATTTAAATTTAGTTTAGGTTATGTTTTGCCACATAAAATTGAAGTTTTGAAATTAAAATTTGTGAAATTGGAAAAAAAATTTATTCAATTTTCTAAATTGAATTTTCTTTAATTTCATCAATTCCAATTTCAAAGTTTTAATTCTATGCTTATCAAACATGGTTTAATAAAAAATTATTTCAATTCCAAAACTCCAATTCTCTTTACTCATATTTTGTGGATTCGAAATTGTTTATTTGTGAATGTTCATAACTTCCACTTCCTTACAGTGAGGCTACAATTGAATAAATGAGAAGTTAATAGAATGATTTTTTTTTTTTTTTTTTTTTCTTTTTTTCATTACAAACTCTTCCAATATTTTTGGAGAGATTCAACTCTTTATTTTTCACTTTGATAAAAAAAAAAAGGGAAAATTACATATAAATGGAGTTAAAGTTCTATATTTACTTAGAGGCTGAGTCAAAGTTCCATATTTCTCTAAAATAGATTGCTGAGATGGCACATGATTTTTTACTGTTTAGAAATTGTGGTGCCTAAAATACCCTTCTGCGAAGGTACTACTTTTTCTTCGAAGGTACTACTTTTTTGAACTGAAGGTACTACTTTTTGGTATCCAGGTACCATGTTTTTTAAACACCCGCGAAGGTACTACTTTTTCTCCGAATGTACTACTTTTTTGAACTGAACGTACTACTTTTTTGAACTGAAGGTACTACTTTTTTGTTAGGGAAGGGCATTTTAGGCACCACAATTTTCTAAACAGTAAAAAACCATGTGCCACCTCAGCAATCCATTTTAAAGAAATATGGAACTTTGACTCAGTCTCTAAGTAAATATGGAACTTTAACTCCATTTATATGTAATTTTCCCAAAAAAAAATGCCAAATGAACTTGGTTTTTGGTTGATGTGTTTCCTTTTGCAACGCTATCAAGACCTTCAATGTCAGGCTTCCAACAGTTAGAAGGTTTAGCCATAGACCAACAGTTGGAACTCATCGGAACTGAAACTGTTATTAGTAATTAAAAGTGATTTATTGTAATTTATTCCTTTATTTTATCATGCATGTAAAGTACTACTTGACTCTGGTCTCTAGACACTAAAAATTGAAATGTATAACTTTAACGAAAAAAAAAAATTGAAATATATCAAATTTTCATTTCCATTAGAGTGCCGGAACATCAAACTCAGGCATTACTTGGGGTCTTCAAAATCTGTAGAGCGCTTGCCTAATAGACATCTGGCTTTGATATATTTGCCACTAACAATTATAAGTTAATAATTTGTAACCTCTACTAAAATAATTAAATATGTAACCATTCTAGTAATTGATAATGATACTGCCGGTAATAACAGAAGGATAAATTATACCGCCACTCCATAATATTATCTCATATTTTACTTAAATGAATATTTTAATTTTAACTTTCACTCACACCTAAAATTACTTTTTTTATTTTATTTTACTTTTTTTATTTTATTTTTTATTTTTCTGTGTACTCTAACTAACATATGTGAATTCACCCATTTATCGTATTTTTTTAATATAAAATTTATACAAATTGACTTAACTGAAATACCCCCTTTATAATCCAAATCACTCTCTGTCTGTCTCTCTCTATCTGCATAAAACACAAAACCACCCATAGCCACCACACCCCACCCCACCCCACCCAACACCTCCATCGCCACCGCCCCCCACCGAACACCACCCAAAACTACCCATCTCCATCGCCCCCGCCCCCACCCCCACCCCCACCCCCACCCAACACCTACATCACCATGCCCCCACCCATCACCCAACACTTCCATCACCACCTCCCGTCACCCCCACCCCCGCCCCCACCCAACACCTGCATCACCACCACCCAACACGGCAACACCTCCACCACCCCCACCCAATACCTCCATCACCACCACCCAAAACCTCCACCGCCCCTACCCAAAAAATGTATAGATCTGTTCCTACAAATAAACCCAACTGGCTAGATTTTCCATCCAGGTATGATCTCTTCCTCCTACTGAGACCTCGACTCAACAAAGACCGGGATCGAGCCGACTCTCCTAATGACGCCGCTTCCCTAACCTTGTCGTCGTCCCCGCTGCGAACCACCTTGCTGCTTCCGCCGCCTGAATCTCGTCATGGCTGTGCCGAGATGCCGAGGGAGTGATAGAGAGGGAAAGAAAAGATGGGACACGAATCAATTGATGGTTGTGTCTGCAGGTTCAATGACTTAAATGATAATTTTTTCTCTGTTTTGTCCACACATCTGTTGCTGTAACTAATATTATAACTTGGAATATTTGCTAGAGGTGGTGATGGGTTCTTGGTTTGTTGAGAATGGTTGTATGGATAAATTTTGGATCGTTTGGGGGTATTTTTGTTATGAAAAAATTGAAATATTATTTGTAAGCCAACAACTAGTCAAAAGCACGTAAAAGTACTTTGGAATCTCTTGAAAATTGATAATTGGGGTGTTTGGTGAAATAGAAACCACTTTTTCAAATATTAATGAAAGTTAAAACCAAGATATTGATTTAGATAAGATTTGACCTACTCTAAAGAGTGTTAGTGTAATTAACTCAAAATTTAATGATATTTCTTCCCTTCTCAAAGTGTAGAGTTGCAAGGTTAGGTTAAAGTTCTTATGATGGAAGGGCGTGTAAATTATTAATTATAGGAATTTCTCATGCTTCATCATGTATATATATTATATTTCAGTGTACAAAAATACGAAGTTTATAGGATATAAAGCTAAATGATACGTTATTTACCAATAAGTACATATGTTACCAATTACTAAGGTGATTTAAGAAGTTAAATTTGAGAGAAGGTGTGGTATATTACACTGTAGAAAAGAATGGGAAAAAATAAATAAATAAATAAAACACTGTTAATATGAAATAAAGGCCAAGATGATAATAATTGTTTCTCTATATAAAATTAAAAAATGTACAACTTTTGTATATATAAAATGAACAATACTACCATTTACATATCTTATCCATTTAATGCATTATTTAAGATCAAAGTTTTGACCTTATTCAATGCATCTAAGAAATAGTCATCTTGTAATATGGCTATTATTTTCAGTGAAGAAGTACTTATACATGAAAACATAATTTACTTGTAGAAATAGGTTTCTAATATTATTTTTGATACGCCTAATCACGAATACGACAAGGACTAAAGCTGAAGAGAGTCCACTAATAAGAAATAAACCGCCAAAGCTGCGAAGGTTTAGAATGTTGGAATCCTGGAACATATGAGATGAGTGACTCTTAAACCATGTCTTCTCCATCATCTCAAGTTTTCCTTCTACTCTTAGTTTCATAATCGCCCTCGACATCTCAGGAACTAATGGCGAACCCTTTCGAAAAACCTGTGATCATAAGAGTTCGATTGACCAAATTAATTAACTACAGTAAATTACATGTTGTTTAGATATTCATATTTGCATGCCTACATAATTAAGTGATAACCTTTGTTGTCCTATGTTTATTGACACGCTTGAATACTTTTTTTGTAATATATAAATACTCACGAAGCCAAAGCCATTGGTGGTAGATTCTGATGCAATCAAGGCATAGCCAAAGGGATATCTTGCGAGGAAGATCTTGATATATGGAATCTCATCAACTATAGAGCCAACTCCACCATTTTTAGTTCCATTTGATAAAGCATCCGCAAATTCCTTAGGTGAAGAATAGCGCATAAGCCTAGTGTCTTCAAAATGCGGGCTGCTGATGATGACTCCTTCATGAAAAGAACCTTGTCGGAACCCTATAGAATTTTCCTTTTGAATTTGTTGAACCGTCAACAGTGAAGATAAAATTGCAGTGTAGCTTGAAGTCAATATAAGCACGACGAATACCCAAACAGTCACTATAAACCTTGACAAATTACTTACTAATTTTTCTCCTGCAGTTACACAAAAAATTATACTCCCAAACAATCACTATATATGTTTTTAGAACTTTTTTGGAAGGTTAGGTTGTTTTGTTCGGATAAAACATATATACTTTTACAAGGAAAAAAGAAAATTTTGAAAGGAATTTGTTTTTTTTTTTGATAAGTAAGATTTTATTAAAAATTACGAAAGGACTTACTATGAGCAAAAACAAGGGTTGAGAAGGAGAACCAGAAGACCGTTCCAATTTGCTGAGCAGCTGAACCTTGGAATTCTTCATTTATGGGATGCTCAATAACCCAAACAACGAAGCCGGTTAGGATAAAGAACGCAGCACTTGTGAGCCATAGATTTGGATCAAGTGGCTTCAAGAAGATCCACATGTTCTTATCGTCAATCCTTGCTATTGTTCCAACACCCAAGTGGGTAAATGGCATTGTAAAGTCAACATATAAAGATCTATTGGCTGTTATTGTAACATCCCCCACGACAGCATCATATTTCTAATATATCCATTAAAAAATGAAACGTAAATATATCAAATGAATAATTCGTTCTGCAAATATATATATAAACAAACTAGCATTCATGTCTTGCTGTATATATATGTGTGTCATATATATATGTGTGTGTGTGTGTGTGAATCTTTCAGTTTGTGATACGTTTGTAGATTTTGAATTGACATACCTGAAGATAGACCTGATATACAAGATCGTTGTAGTTTTTTATCTTGTAAATTGGAATAAACTCATATGGTACATCAATTGGCAAGGCATCAATGGCAGCACGGAATACATCTATACAAAAGCCACTAAACTTCGTTGCATTGGTTTGAGGATCAAGATCCATCTTCACCAATTCCGTGAACCCCAATTTTGCTGGAACACCAATTCTTAGCTTTTTACTATTCATCGGCATCAACCAACCTTTTGGAGTAGTTGTAGATCCTCCTGGCCAGACAATGGCTTCAAGAGTACCACTACTACTACTTGAAGACCTCTGATACTTTTCGCTCAACATTTCTTTAGTGATTCCATCACTTGATGTCCAAAATCCAACTGTTCTACCCACTTTGTCTAGTACATTCACAATTTCAAATGCCCTAGAGATTAGTTTCCCCTTCATAAATTGAAACTCACCACTTAAACCCCTAAATCTAATGTACAATATCTCTTTTAGAATTATTGAACCACTTTTAGAAGCTCCAATGTTAGCTAAGTCTGTCACGTTCAGTGCAGCATTTTGTTCTTGAGTATGAGAAATCTTATCCGCTACCCTCTCCACTGCCTTTGCTAGTGCCCAAATTGCATCATATGCCCGTATGCCAAACACATTTAACTCCATCATTTCCATGTCGGATTTCTCCATATGAAATTTCCTTCTCCATCTTAGAGCGAAGTTGTGGTGCTCCCTTGATGGTGGAATATGAGACTTGAAACCTAGAACCCCTTGCATAGACTCAATGAGTACCGAAGAATCCATTGAATGCAAGAGCTCCATAGTCTTACCAGTTATAATCCAAGCATATCCTTCACTCATCATTCCTAGCCTTTTGATATTTAAGAAAAGGTGAGACGCTAGAGAAGCTGAAACATGCACAACAAATATTGTGGTTTGAGGAGTAGTACTCGTGAGATTATGGAGCTCTACAAGGATTTGTTCATCGGTGGCTGATGCAGAAATTGCAGTCTTATAAGCAATGCGAATGTTTTTCTCTTGGAACGAATCAGCCAAATTTGATATGATTTCTCCCTCCTCATAAATAAGGATGACATTCGTCCATTGAAATGATTCAACAATGGAAGCAATGCCATCAAATTCAAGTGTTTGATCTTGTGTAAGTTGAACAAGGTAACTAGGATATTCTGTTGACGATGAAGTACCACTCCCAGAAAAAGAAAGGATAGGAACTTTGGCCTTGTCCCCCAATGCAGCCAAGAAATTCGCTTCAGGTGATGTTCCTGGGCCTATGATTGCTTGCACCTTGTTATTTTCCAAAAGATCAATAGCTACACTGGGCAAAGGAAGCATTTACTTGATTGTTTAATGTCATGGTAAAAGCCCCCCAATTTCAAGCTTGAACTTTGACTACAAGTTAAATAACATCACTCTTTATATATCTCACTCTGAAAAGAAAATGCTACGTTTATGAAAAATGATATACAATACAAACCAGCTTTCCTTTTTTCCCTCCAAAATAAGCCAAATTGACTTAGGTGGCTAAATAGTAGTAGCCCTTGCATGCGAATACTAAGGCTCAGTTTGTTTCAACGTTCTTTTTGTTAGGTTTTAAAATTTTTTTTTTCTTAAACTATTACCAAAACCAAACCCTTAAATAAAAAGTAAAAAAATAAATTATATATATATATATATATACATAGGAGCCTAAATGAAAAATAATGAAGAAGAAAATTCATAAGAAAAAAAACTTAGGTACCAATAAATCAAGATGCGTGTGAAATGTAAAATGAAAAATAATGAAGAAGAAAATTCATAACAAAAAAAGCTTAGCTACCAATAAATCAGGATGCGTGTGAAATGAAAAATGAAAAATAATAAAGAAGAAAATTCATAACAAAAAAAGCTTAAGCTACCAATAAATTAGGATGCATGTGAAATATAAAACAAAAACTAACCGGCAGACAGAGCACGCAGGGGTTCTCCCTTTGAATCCCTGATGTGAAGAACTATCCTTGTTGTGAAGTTTCCGTTGAGAGCATAAAAATCAGATATTGCCATAGTAATGCAACTGTGAACAACCTTCCCAACCAATGATTCCATATCCAAAATCACTCCAACATTGATACTACTACTACTACTCTCATTTGTGCCAAGTTGTGCATTTAATTGATAGGGATGGCTCAAAAATATCACAAGTAAAATGAAGATAAGGTTGTTGATCCTCATCTCTCCGCTGGAGCAAATGGGTGATCTTAATTATTTAGATATGGTGGTTCTTCATCCTCATCTCTCTGCTGCTTATGAACTAATTAATGAACGCCACAAGTCTACCTGAAAAACCATCTTCAGCGCGTTCAAGTTGCTATCCAGTCTGAAAAGTATAATTGCTGACTGGTCTTTGAAGAAAGACAATTTCAACTACAACTGAAGTTTATGTGTGTGTGTATATATATATATATATATTTCAAACCAAAGTGAAAGCTAAGCCCTCCCTTCGTCCTTCAACAACTTCAATGAAATACACTTGTATGTGCAATGATAACTCTTTGTCCAACAAGCAGTACTCTTGACACATGACTATTCTCAACAATTGCAAAGTCAACCATAACCATTCTACATTGAACTATTCTACGTTTGAATTGTTCTGCGCTGTAGTTGTGAAATAAGACCTTCACCAGGCTCCTTTCTTTGGATATAAAATATATTTTTATTTTTCTTAATTTTTTGTTGCGAAAATAATATTACTGTAAAACTTAAAATAAATAACTTATTCATCAGGAAAAAAAAAATTCAAAAGAAATATTACGTATCTTTCATTGCTGAAATGAATGGATACATGGCCAATCACAATTAATTAAAAAAATAATAATAACATTAATGTGATGTTTCTAATTTTCTCTATTTTTTTTTTCATTTTTCTGGAACTTTTGTCGCTGCAAGGGCATTTTCGTCTTTTGCCTTTTTGCGAGCCGGACACTGTGGAGTGTGTTAGTTGTGACCTCGAGTTGTTTGGGGCATTTCATTGAGTTCAGGACTCTTTGAAATGCAAGGGTGATCATTTTCGCATTTTTCTATTTTTTAGGCCGGACGGTCCTGAGTGGGACCTATTATCGGACTTGTCATGTGCGGGGATTGTAATTGAGTCCATTTGCATTTCATGCATTTTATTTGATGCATTTTAATGTGGGTTTTATTTAGTTAGGTGTATATATAGAAATTGGTGGGAGTTTATAAAGAAAAAAAAATAAAATAAAAAGAAAAAAATAAAATAAATTTTTGTTGGGATCCACAAGCACTTAAAGTGGTCATGATTTTGGTGGCACTTAAATTTGTCCCACCCCCATCTCTCGTTCTAGACTCTTCTTTTTTTTTCTTTTTCTTGGTTTCAATCTTCACCTCTTGATTTCTCCTTTAATACTTAGTGTTTTTAAGAGCCGTTTGCGGCTATTCGAAGCCCACGACAAGACCTACAAGTTGTTAGGAGCAATTCCTTGGTTGGCGCACTGTAGAAAATTCGAAAATCTTAGGGTTTGAGGTGAAAATTGAAAGTTTTGCATAAAATTGAGGTATGGGTCTCTAATATGCATTTTCTTGTTCCTTTGTGAATCAATTATTATTATTTGATGCCAACATGCTTAATTAAAATTAATTACCTCTAGAATGATTTTCTTTTGGGTGTAAAGTTCATGATTATATGTATAATTGTTGATTTGTATAAAAAACATGCTTCATTATTAATTTCTTTATGTTATTGTGTTGACAAAATTACTAAAAATGATACATGGAAGCTTATGAAAATTTTCTTAGAATTATTGTAATTTCTTTATATTATTATATTGACAAAATTACTAGAAATGATACATAAAAGCTCATGAAAATTTTCTTAGAATTATTGTAAAGCTCACTTGATTATGGAAGTATTGTGAAAATTTCTTTTTGCCCTAGCATTGAATACATGAGATATACATGCATATCATGGGGCATGAATGATGGGAAATGATGTTGAACAAATGAAAAAGGGAGTTTTGGGGAAAATTTGATGAAACGGTTTTTGAGAAATTCCGGTCGCCGCTGAGTCACCAAAGGGCCGGTGTGTTAATGTAACCTTGAGAGAATTCGGGAGATTGCCCTAGTGTGGTTGAGCTATCTGGGCCCCAAATGACGTTGCGGGGGTACCAAAGGTCAGGAACAATAGCCAGCCATTCTCTCGTGTCGCTGCGGAGTCATCAAAAGACGGGTTATATTAACAGTTTATGAAGTGATGGATGGTTTTCTGAAAATGGGGAGTGATATGCATAATATTGCATTAATGGCACGACATTCATTTGTTTAGAACTTGCAGGTTTACATTGTATTTTCCCCGATTTAGCATGACCCCTCTCCCTAGTGTCCTATTCATTATTTGGGTTCACGGGGTCACAAGAGGTGTGTCTTAGGCACCACCTACTGAGTTTTTTGCTCACCCCATTATTTAATATTTTCAGGGCCAAGAAAAGATGTAGTGGATGCCGATTCCTCTCAAGCATGAAGAGGACTAGAGATCTATTTTGATACCTTTTTGTGTACTAGTTAATCTTTGGTGAAGTCTCAAACTATGAAAAAGAGTATTCATTTTTGCAAATCATGACCATGTAACATAACTAAGATACTTGATTTTTTTTTTTTTATGTAAATTGAGACTATGTAAATGCTTAAGTTGAATGAGATGATGATGATGGGCCTAACTTGAGGAGGTTGTTGATGTTGTAGTATTGGGGAATGTATTATATATTTTTTTTGTATTGTATGTTGGGACAGGTTGGATAAGTCTTGAAAGGTCAAGAAAGGCCATTACATTTTTTTTAAGCAGGTTGTTATAGGCCCCTTTTTAGCATACGTCATGCCGATTTTTTATTTTTTTTATAACTGGTATTTAGTTTTGGGTCGTTACAATTAACATATTTAATTACATATTAAGTAATAATTAGTTAAAATCATGTTCCAAATTATATAATAATTTCTTGTTTTTGTGACATAAAAAAGTCATTGAATACAAGATTTCTTATCATCATCACTAATCAAATTGGGTCACCGTGTCTACCTAGATGGCTCACTCAAATGCCTTTCTTTTGAATCGGGTGATTGACGTGGTACCGAATTAAGGATTAAGTCTGGCTTTGATATCAATTATAATGGGTGGGCACTTACCCATTGCCCTTTTACAATTTGACTCAAAAATTTAAGTTATTAGGTATTGTTACAGATTTACTATTTATACTCCCATTTGCTTTCCATTCGGTTATGATGTGGAAAAAATATTCCTTATAATAGAAGACTAGTCTAGTCCAATATCTAATGAATAGTTTCATTCTAGACTTTCAAATGACAGAATTTGGGTGATAGTATCACGAAATCAAATGATGGAATACCTTCTAGACTTTCGAAGATGTAATCCAATTTTTTCCTTTTCTTTGACTTAACATGTGCAAGTTCTAATTGAAAGTATTGTGAAATCAAGGCCTAGCAAGTGTCCCCCCGGCCCCTGGCCCATTTATTTTTATTTTGCATAGGTGTATAATTTATAAAAATATATATAATGCTATCTTTCTTATCAATCTACTCTTCTTTTTCAATAATCTTACTCTTCTTATTTTTTGGTTTGTTGTCTGCTTGCACCGTTATTAGCCCAGCCCCCTAAACAAATTGTTAATTTCATCCTTAAAGCTGAATAGATGCCACTAGGTTGGGTTGAATGCCGAATTTGAGATGTGCATCCCAAGTGGGTTTGATTTCTCGAAATTGACCCCCCATGCCGTTTATCTAATCGTGATAAATATCTCGAAATTTTTTTTGTTAACATTTTTTTTTGTGGCAAGTGGGAGTGTCCAATAATAATAAAAATAAATAAATAAATAAAGTGAGGAGACACCAAAACTACGTATATTTTGGGACGAAGGCTTCCGATCGACTAAGGGAAAAGGAAAATATGCCGGAGAATTACAAAAAAGAGCAGCAGATTTAGGGCTTTTCGCCAATTTGATCGTGTATGATTTATACGAAGGATTTCGGACTTCTCTTTTAATCTTAAGAGGTAAACCCCTCTTCTTAAAACACTTGTACTTTCAATTCTCTAGTAATTCTGGAAATATATTTGAATTCCTTTAGATAGTAGTAGATTTAAATACTGCGTTTTTTTCTTTTCTTTTTTTCTCTTGTTTGATACCTCACGTTCCTTCAAGAGAGAGAGAGAGAGAGAGAGAGATATATATATATATATATATATATATATATATATATATATTACCTTTATTATTTTTAGTTCATCGCTAGGTAAAAAAAATTCAGAACGTGTTCATAAAACGCATCAATCAGTAGCTGGCCAGCAAATTAGGAGCAATATATAGTTGAAGAAGTTCAAAATAATTATCTTGCATTATTAGTTTCTTCGAGGCATACCACGAGTAGTATTTTCAGTGAAAGAGGTAGTTTAATATGAAAACCAATTTTACCATAAACATGTTTCTAATATAAATTTTGACACGCCTAATAAAAAATATGAGAAGAGCTAAAGCTGAAGCTATCAAGGTTCAGAATGTTGGGGATAGCCTCATAATCCTGGACCTTTGGAGATGGCTGCTGACTCTTAAACCATGCCTTCTCCATCATCGCAAGTGTTCCT